AACCGTCGTCGTCTTAGTCGTCGTCGTCGTCGTCGCCTGCGCCGCCGTCGTCCTCGGCGTCGTCGTCGTCGGCGTGGTCGTCGTCGTCGGCGTCGCCGTCGTTGTCACTTGCGCTAGCGTCGTCGTCGTCGCCTGCGCCAGCGTCGGCGTCGTCGTCGTCGCTGGCGTCGCCGTTGTCGTCGTTGTCTTCGTCGCTTGCGCTGGCGTCATCGTCGGCGTTGTCAACGTCGCCGTCGGCGTCGCCGTCGTCGTCATCGTCGTCGCCTGCGATGGAGTGGTCGTCGGCGTCGTCGTCGTCTGCGTCGCAGTCGTCGTCCTCGTCGTCGTCGCCTGCGCCCGCGTCGTCGTCGTCGTCGGCGTCGTCGTCGTCATCGCTGCCGTCGTCGTCGTCGTCGTCGTCGCCTGCGCCTGCATCGTCGTCGCCGTCGTCGTCGTCGTCTGCACCACCGTCGTCGTCGGCGTCGTCGTCGGCGTCGTCGTCGTCGGCGTCGCCGTCGTCGTCGGTGTCGCCGTCATCATCGTCGTTGTCGTCGTCGTCGCCTGCGCTGGCGTCGTCGTCGGCGCCGTCGTCGTCGTCGTCGCCGTCGTCGTCGTCGTCGTCGTCGCCTGCGCCAAGGTCGTCGTTGGCGCAAGTCGTGGTCGCCGTCGTCGTCTTCGCCGTCGGCGTCGTCGTCGACGCCTGCGCCAGCGTCGTCGTCGGCGTCGTCGTCGTCGCCGTCGCCGTCGTCGTTGCCGTCGTCGTCGTGGTCGTCGTGGTCGTCGTCGTCGTCGCCTGCGCCGGCGTCGTCGTCGGCATCGGCGTCGCCGTCGTCGCCGTCGTTATCGTCGCATGCGCCAGCGTCGTCGCCGTCGGCGTCGTCGTCGTCGTCGTCGCCGCCGCCGTCGTCGTCGTCGTCGCCTGCGCCAGCGTCGTGGTCGTCGTCGTCGTCGGCGCCGTCGTCGTCGTCGCCGCCGTCGTCGTCACCGGCGCCTGCATCGTCGTCGGGGTCGTCGTCGCCGTCGCCGTCGTCGCCTGCGCCAGCGTCGCCGTCGCCTGCGCCGTTGTCGTCAACGGCGTCGTCATCGTCGGCGTCGTCGTCGTCGCCAGCGTCCGCCGTCGTCGTCGTCACCTGCGCCTGCGTCGTCGTCGGCATCGTCGTCGTCGTCTTCGCCGTCGCCGTCGTTTTCGTCGCCGCCGCCTGCGCCAGCGTCTTCGTCGTCGTTGCAGTCGTCGTCGTCGCAGTCGTTGTCGTCGACGTCGTCGTCGCCTGCGCCGGCGTCGTCGTCGGCGTCGTCGTCGTCGATTACGATGGCGTGGTCGTCGGCGTCGTCGTCGTCGTCGGCGTCACCGTCGTCGTTGTCGTCGTCGTCATCGTCGCCTGCGCCAGCGTCGTCGACGTCGTCGTCGGCGTCGCCGTCGTCGTTGTCGTCGTCGTCGCCGTCGCCTGCGCCTGCATCGTCGTCTGCGCCGTCGTCGTCGCGGCCGCCGCCGTCGCAGCCGTCGTCATCGTCGCCGTCGCGGTGCACTGCGGTGGTTCGGCGTCGTCGGCGCCGTCCTCGTCGTCGTCGGCGTGGCCGTCGCAGCCGTCGTCGTCGTCGTCGTCGCCTGCGCCGGCGTCGTCGTCGTCGGCGTCCGCCGTGCGCGCGGCCGCCACGGCGCCGCGCGCCGCGCAGCCCCCTCGCCGGGCCGGCCGCCCTCAGCGCCAGAAGAGGCGGCGCTTGCGCTCGTTGCGCTCGCGCCCTCGGCTCGGCCGCGGGGCCGGGCGGGAGGGGGAGAGGGCAGAGGGGCGAGGGCGAGGGGCGAGGGCGAGGGCGAGGCAAGGGCGAGGGCGGTGGGGGGGAGAGGGGCGAGGCGGGGGCGAGAGCGAGGTGCGAGGCAAAAGGGCGAGGGCTGGGTGGCGGGGGCGAGGTGAAGGGCGGGGGGAGGCGCCGATGGAAGGGCGAGGGCGGGGCGAGGGCGGGGCGAGGGAAGGGGGGGAAGGGGGGCCGGAGGAGGGAGTAGGCGGAGGCCGCCTGGGGGAGGGGCCGCCGGGGGAGAAAGGGGCGATGGCGGAGGAAGGCAAGGGGGGGGTAAAGGAGCCCAGGGACACGCAGATAGAGAGACACGAATCCAAAGATCCCCCATGTCCTCCATGTCTTCTGGATGCCAGTCTGCCCCATCCACTTCCTGGTGTCCGCTTCCATGCGTTCCGCATTTTCCTGGGAATCGGCGATCCTTTGTGTTTCGGTTCCCTCCTGAGTAGAGGAGGGCTTAGGCGGGGGTCGCGCGGGAGAGGACTGGGGAGGGAGGAGGGAAAGAAGGAGCAGGAGGAGGAGGAGGAGGAGAAGGAGGAGGAGTTATTCACTGTGTGCATTATCAAGCCAAACTCTGCCAGCAAGTTAAAACTCGACGGTGAAATAAATCAGGGCTCCACGGCACAAGCTTCACCCCAACAAGAGGCAGTGTGCTGAGGTGGTTTACCCTTGCGTGCTCGCGCGCCTGCAACTGCTTCGGGGAGATTTTGTGTGGGCCCTCAAGGGCCACAGGACAACCAATCAGGAGGTTGACTGGTCGCTGAGTGTCCCAGGACCCGCACAGGCCACAAAAAACAAAGCGCCCCTTAAACCAGAGCTCGTAACTTGAATTCAATTGCTTGCCCGCTATAAAGACAGGCTGGGCAATTCTCTGGGACGGATCCTCCAAACCCAAACGACGCCAAAGCCACTCATCCACGGGGGCCTCGGGCTCCAGGGGCGGGACAACCCTGGGGAGCGGGACGGGAGGCCTGGGAGCCAGGACGGGGCAAGCCGACAAAACCGAGTCCCGGAAACCTCTCGATCTCTCACGGGCATGGGGCCGCACCCAGAGCACCTCCAGGAGGTGTCAGTACAGTCGAGGCGTTGACCTAAGGAACCCTAAATAAGGAACGGGGCCCCTTTCTCCCATAACCCATAAGTTGAACTTCGACTTCCCATGGAAAACCTCAGGAAAACAGAAGGCAAACTGTCGAACAATCAAGGAACACCGAGCCCCTCCCCAACGAAAAGGGTTCCTTCTTCAGGGCCCCGGCTGTATATTTAAAACAATTGGGCGACGAGGCTCGGATGAATTCAAGCCTGCGCTGCTTAGCCTTCTCTTTACGGTCCACAGGGCTCTTAGCGACAACGCGCGAGCGATCCTTCGGACGAGAAGCCATAGCAACCTTGAGGGAGGCCGTACGCAGCAGGACAGACTTCGCTTTTCCCTCACGAGCAAGCACCTTTCGGCAGACATGTGACTGGTTCTGAGCAGACTCGGCGCGCTGGTCAGCAAGAAAGTCCGCAGCACGATTAACAGAAACGTGCTCAGTGGCTGCCGTGCGCCAAAACCTGTGAAACTTGGAGGAGGAGGAGGAGGAGGAGGAGGAGGAGGAGGAGGAGGAGGATAAGGACAGGGAGGAAGAGGAGGAGGAGGAGGAGGAGGAGGAGGAGGAGGAGGAGGAGGAGGAGGAGGCGGCGGAGATGTTGGAGCGTCTGGGGGAGCCACGTCTTCTTCGCATCTGCTGCCGCCGAAGCCGCCTGCGGCCGATTTTGCCGAGAGGCAGCTCGACGGCTTGCAGGGCGGCCCGCGCCAAGCTTTGCGCGGCCTCCGGAGGAGAAGGGCACGGGCGGGCCCTGCTTTCCTGGTGGGCCAACCGAAGGGCAGGAAGTTGAACGTCGATTTACCATGGAAAACCGCAGGAAAACCGAAGGCACACCGCAGGAACAATCGAGGAAAACCGAGCCCCTCCCCCACGAAAAGGGTTCCTTCTTCAGGGCCCCGACTGTACGGCCCGAGCTCCCGCCTCCCGCCACCCAGAAGGCCCTTGCGGGGCCATCAGGCTGCGAGGATTAAGCTTGCTGCTCCCTGCACCAGTTCCAGCTTCCAGTTTCCATTCTGCCTCCTGCTGTAAACTGTTACTGTCCGCGCGAGGGGGGGGGCCAAAAACCGCCCTGGTCAGCATCCCCCTGGAGGGTTCTCAGACTTCCGGGGGGGGGTAAGAGTTGACACCCCTCACGCAGATCGGCGGGGTCAGGGTCCAAAAACAAAAGGGATTTGCCACGTTTCTGAAATTCGGTGGCACCCCTCAGGCAGATCGGCGGGGTCAGGGTCCACAAACTCAAAAGATTTGCCACATTTCTGAAATTTCCTGGCACCCCTCACGCAGATCGGCGGGGTCAGGGTCCAGAAACACAGGGGATTTTCCACATGTCTGAAATTCGGCGGCACCCCTCATGCAGATCGGCAGGGTCAGGGTCCAAAAACACAGGGGATTTGCCGCATTTCTAAAATTCTGTGCCACCCCTCACGCAGATCGGCGGGGTCAGGGTCCAAAAACACTAGGCATTTGCCACATTTCGGAAATTCGGTGGCACCCCTCACGCAGATCCGTAGGGTCAGGGTCCAAAAGCAGAAAGGATTTGCCACATGTCTGAAATTCGGCGGCACCCCTCATGCAGATCGGCAGGGTCAGGGTCGAAAAACAAATAGGTCCCGACACTGCTTCACGGCAAAGCCAAAGCCTCATGACTTCGCTCTTCCATGGCCCATTCTCCGAGAGAGGGGGCCGGCGGCAGGGGGCGAAGCCCTTACGGATATAAATTGCCGTGTATTTGAAGGCCTCGGGATTGGGGGGGGATCAAACCCAAAGCCAGGAGGGGGTCCAAAAATGGGGGCGCGGGAAGATCATACCCGAGCTGTCGACGGGCAAGAGCGCGGGGACGCGACACCTCCTCGCATGGGCTGGCTGGGCCCGCGGCTGTTCTTCTTCTGCTGCCGGCGCTCGCGCGGCGAGAGCGGCTTCTCCGGGGCCTCCTGGCGTGCCGAGGGCGGCTCGGAGGATTGAAGCCGAGGGTGGGAGAGCAGCACGTCCCGAATGCACTCAGGATCTTCCCCCCCCCTCCTCCTCCTCCTCCTCCTCCTCCTCCCTCCTCCTCCACCTCCTCCCCCTCCTCCTCCTCCTCCTCCTCCTCCTCCTCCTCCTCCTCCTCCCCCTCCTCCTCCTCCTCCTCCTCCTCCTCCTCCTCCTCCTCCTCCTCCTCGTCCTCGTTCGCCTCGTGCTCTCCTCCCTTCTGCCGGACTGGGCGTAGGCCTGATCTGCGAAGCGTGCCCGGGCGGAGCACCCGCCAGAGGTGCCGCCGCCTCGCTGGTGGAGGCAAAAGAGAGAGAGAGAGAGAGAGAGAGAGAGAGAGAGAGAGTGCGACCGGGCGGCCATGACCCGGGAGTGAAGGATGGCGCCTCGGAGTCCAGGCCGCGAGGCCACGAGTGCAGGCGCGTCCGCCGCTCGTGGGACCCCTGCGGGCCTCGGGCGGCCCTCCGGTGAGGGGGGGCGCGCCCGAGCTCCCCCAGGCTCTGGAGCACCGCGTGGGGCCTGCTCTAAAGAGCATGAAGGGACCGCACCGAACCGAGAACCGAGAACCGTGACCGAACCGGACCGAACCGGTCCAAAACCAGGAACGTAGAAAACCGAACCGGACCGAACCGAATTCATTCAGAACCGAACCGGCGAGGACCGAACCGGCGAGGGAGCATACGGTGGGGAGCACTTTCTTGGGTTACGCTTCAGGGGCCCACAGGGGCCCGCGCATGCAGATCGACTCTGGGTCTAGCTCGGCGCCGCCCCCTCGCGCGCCGCAGCCGCCCGCGCCTCTCGCGCCTGCAGCCCGCGCGATACCTTCGATGAGGAATCCAGGGTCTGGAGGCCAGTGGAAAGCCAATCGTGGATCGGCCATGGATCTCACCGCCGCACTCATCGGAGAAGGGATCCTCCAGGGTCTGGCGCCTCCTGGGCGCATTCCTTAACCAACGCCCCAGCCGTACCGCAGACGGATCTACCCCATCTCCGACCCCGTACTGCGCCGAACGCAACGGCCGCCCCGAACGCGCCCACGTACGCAACGACACCCAATGTGTCCATAGACGCTCGTGGCCACACAGTGGGAACGGCATTTGGCATACTCGATTGGACAGGACACGCGAGAGGACACAAGATCCTTCCGCGGGCCACATTGCCATAGGAATGTAGGAGGCATGGGTCGAGAGATACAGGACACAAGGGTACCCGTGATTTGGCAGGATGGACCTATTAATCAGTGCCGACTGTATGTCCCAAAATATTGGCCTTCTACACGCAGGTAGACGTTGACCCAGGCTCCCCACCTCGACGGCGAGGCCCTCTTTCTGGGGGGAGAGAGAGAGAGAGAGAGAGAGAGTGAGAGAGAGAGAGAGCGCCGCGTGCAGGGGCCGAGAAGAGCAAGCCCCGGCCCTCGGCGCGGCAGGCCGCCCGCGCACGAGCCCCGCCGGATGCCCCTGAGATCCGACGCTGCGGACCAAAACGGCACGCCCGACACGGACGATGCCCAACACCACATGCTGCCGAAAACCGCCAGCGGCCGCTGCTGGGCAGGCGGCTCGTGCCCATTCTTTCCGTACCCGTGTCCATCGTGCCGAAAAGATTTCGGACCGGAGCCCTCGACCTCATCGTCCCGCCGCACGTTTCGGGCCAGACGGGTCTGTTGTGGTCCTGGGGCCCGAAGACACGCGAAAACGCCTGGTGTGAGAAAATTGCGACGCCCAGACCCGAAGGGATGCCGCACGACGCTGGCTCTGAATCCGCGCCCGCGGATTGTTTCCCGCAGCGCAACGGAACCCAACCCCCAGGCGTCGCGGTGAATAGTTACTCCAGGGCCCGGTCAGCCAGGTGAGAAACATCGGGCACCACGCTTGGGCAGCAGCAGCAAGAGCAGGGAAAGCGAACAGGCGGCAAGGAGGAAGGAGCCCAGAGATCCGATGTCGTGTTTTTTTCGATACGGGGCCCCCTGAAGATTAGACCCATCCCCGAAGACCAGTTTTTCACCCCGCGTCGGTTTTGATGGTCCTGGGGCCTGGCGAGGGCCCCTGGAGGCCGAAGACTGGGAAAAACCTCCGCCTCGATTTGCTCAACACGCTGGATCTCTGGGAGGAAGCACCGAGGAGCAGCACGGAGGAAGCACAGGAGAGCGAGCGAGCGAGGAGGCAGCGGAGCAGGAGAGAGGAGACGGCGGCCAGCAGCGCTTCCACGCCCGCGGGGGGGGGGCGGAGGGGTCCGCGAGGGGGGGGGAGTTGCTGGAGGTGGCGCAGGCCCCAGGCGTCCCCAGCCTCTCGCGCCATTCCAGGCCCCCTGGGGCTCAGGGGGAAGGAGGAGGAACAGGACGGGGGGGAAGGGAGGAGCAGCAGAAGAAGGAGTAGGAAGGACGAGGGACGAGGGACGAGGGAGGAGGGAGGAGGGAGGAGGGAGGAGGTAGGAGGGAGGAGGGAGGAGGGAGGAGGGAGGAGGGAGGAGGAGGAGGAGGAGAGGAGGAGGAGGAGTCCCATAACTTGAAGCCCGCCAGTCTCCGACGGTGGCGACCGGCGTGACTAGCACAACAGCGTGGCAACGCGCTACGGAGAGTACGGGCGCAATCGTGGTGCTACAAGGGAGCTGACCGCAAACCTAAGCTCATGCATGAGAAAAATGAAACCCGGAATGGGGGAAGCGGAAGAAGAGAAGTAGGATGAGGAGAGTAGAGAGGAGGTTGAGGGGGAGGGGGGCGGCGGGAGGAGGAGCGCTGGTCGTGGGCTTCATGGGAGCTGAACGCAAACCATTCGTGGCAGTATGAGGAACATAGAAGCGATGGGTCATTTGTCGACGACGGAGTGTTTCTGGCTGCACCTGAGATCGCAGACGACACCATCGAGATCACAGGAGCCCTCATCGATATAGTACATCAAGCCATGGTCTCCCACGGTTTTGTTGTCAATTACCAGCGGTCCAAAAGTGCGATCATGATTGTCCCAGCTCATTCTGCTCATGAACTGCGTCAGCAGATCGAGGACAATCGCGATGGATCTATTGTTTCTCCTAGATGGCGGGCTCGAGTCTTCTTAGTTCGCAGATACAAGTACCTTGGAGTTATGATCGACGAAGAAGCTGGACTTGGGCCGAGGATTGCACATGCGGTTGGCAAGCAGAAGAAAGCGTTCGCTCCCATTCGGCGTATGTGTAAAGCAATTCCCGAGACCAAGAAGGGAGGGCGAGCGAACTTGGCGGACGTCATGGCGAACATCCATCTTCTTTACGGCAGTGAGGTATGGCACCGTCCTAGTGATGGTCAACTTCAGCAGGCAGAAGCCCCGCGGCTCCACTCTTATCGCACTTTGCTTGGATTGCTCCACCACAGAACGACCACATACTATGTCAGTGATGTTGCCGTACTGTATCTCTCGCGACGGATACCTTTTCAAGACGTGGTACGACGGAGGAGATTGATATATTTCGGGTCACTTTTTCAAAAGGCCCCGGCGCAGCTGAGGTTTCTGATGGATGCGTTGAGTGAGGACCGCAACTCCTGGGTCAGCCTCCTACGTGAGGATGTGCATTGGTTCACACGCTATGCTAAGACCACGGTCACCAATTTTACTGAGTTTGTGGAGTTTGCTCGTGAGCAGCCGCGACAACTAGTCTCTAAAGTCAAGAATGCATGGAAGCGCTACGTGGAGATACGACTGGACGAGCTCGGGACCGAAGCTTCGACTAGGACGGTTTCGCATCTGGTAGCTGGCCCACCTCCACCTGAGCGTATGGTGACACGATATATCTGCTATGTCTGCGGACACTTGACTTCGACTACAGCATCCTGGAGAGGCCACCTTCTGCGACATGACCCTTTCGACCTGGCTCAACAGTATGCATTGGGATCAACCTGCGGCTGCTGCGAAAAACAATTTGGCGACCGCAGCAACCTTATCCGCCACCTTCGACGACCAGGTAATCGTTGCCTATACTGGCTTCTTGAACATCGTGATCCTCAAGAGAGACGAGATGTCCAGCGGCAGCATGATGAAGATATGGCGAGGGAGCATGATCAATTGGCCGCTGGGTATGCTCGTACTAAGGTGATGAAGCGGTGTCGTGGGCAAGGAAGGGGGCGGTCTCCTTTTGGATATGAGCCTATTGCTGCCCCCTCGGTCGATGTCCCCCCAGACGAATGGCAACCGCGACTGGCACGCGAGCTGGCTGTAGACCCGACGGGCATCATGACCATACTTCATATTGGGGAGATTGGCGAGTACAACCAAGTTGATCGAGCGGTTCAAAAAATGGCATTGGTATATCCGATACAGTACGAGCACGCCGAACGGCCTCTTTCTTTCCAGAAGTTGACGAACCGCATGCGTCAAGGTCAGATTGCAGGTGTACTCATTGACGGTGTACTTCGAAGTTGGTCTCTTGACATCTCTATCGATGACGACGTTACCCTACCTCGCAGGCAGCTGGACACACTGTCACCTACACTGGAACTTTCTCAGTCGGCCAGAGACGAAGTTTTTTTAGAGAACGAAATGCTCAGAAGTGATTTTGAAGTTCTAGCTGCGGCATTGGCGACAGGAGTCCCAGCTATTTTTATTGGCGAGCATGGTCCGATGAACAAGATGATGGCCAGTGCCTCGTGTTATACTGATTTGTTTAATGTGTGCGATCTTACAGCCTTTTCTATGATGGAGTTTTCCGCGGGCGGCGAGTATATGATGCTGAGCGTGCACGTTGATGTGTCACGATTTCCTGCGCTTCAGGCTCCTCGTGCCCTGCTGAGGGGCGCTCAAGTTCATGAGAGACCACAACGACTCGCCGACCTTTTGATATGCTCACTTCGAGGCCTCAGTCTGGATGCAGCCCGTTTTATTGCTGATCATACCCGCCGATAGAGGCATCACATTTTGGAGGGGGAGTTTCATTGAGGTGGGGGAGGCACTGAACGATTATTCCCCCTTGGCGGCACCCCGAGTACGAAGGCCGTACCCGTGTTCTTCGCTACGACGGAGTAGTTGCATTATCGGGGTGCTGTCCAAGGGGGACCCTGAGTTGATTGTCTCTTAGGGGACGGGGGGGGCTAGGGAGGCGCAAGTGGTAAGGCGGGCGAAACAAACCGGCGAGCGCCACCCCAAGCCACCCCGTCCCTCAATGCCTGTGCGTCCTGTGGATCGTCGTCCTGGCGGCGTGCCACC